TATCCGATGGCAGGCGACACCTCTGATTTTGCCGGATATGACGACGGCATAGACTTCCTCGTCGCAGCTTACACTTGGTGGGACTGTCAAAGCCAGTAGGCTTGATGCTCGTGTACATAGCAGGCGTATCATGTTTGAATTTTCGTTGGCCTTCGCGTGTCGGTGAATTTGTCGCTTTGCGGACGGCACGATCTTCCACCGTTTTCAGCGCGCAGCTGTCGCGCTCCCATGCAAGTCTTGCAAACGTAGCGGTTGTCAGCGCTTGGCCGCAGGATAAATTCCACTTGAGCCTTCACGTCGCAGGTTGAGGGACCGAACTCGTTTGCAACAATGTGACTTGTATGCGTAACGACGAGCAGAAGCTGCTGCCACGTTATGCCTTTGGCATTTCATAGTTGGCTTGTTTCGCCCTGGAAATCCTTGGAAAGGCACGGCTAGAGCAGGGTGGGCAAGCAGGTACGAATCCTCGAGCAGGTGATAACAGTCTCCTGTTTCGTGGGACCTTTGAGTCCTTGCAGCGATCAGCTGGACTCCCATGGCGCAGTTGGCGGAGCTCGCAGGCGCTGTGTTCGAGGGCCACCTCCAGGCCAGGCCAGGCGCACGTGCCGAAGCCGCGGAACCCCGCCGCATCCGCCGCAGGCCCCGGGCCTGGGGAAATGCGGCCTCTCCTACCGGCCGCTGGGTCTGATGTGCACTTCTGCGCTTCACTGCACTCGCCAGGGCGGCGCTTTCTCCACCGAGGTTTGGTTCCCTTCAAAGTGGGCTCCACACTGCCGTGAAATCTCAACGCCGGCAACTAGGATGGACCAACAATGAAGAGGACACTGTGACTCAGGGATGCTAGGGCTTGGGGCAATGCGTAAGACTTAGGGTTCTAGTCGCAAGCTCAGGTCTCCGGCCAATCGAAGAAGGAACCGCAAAACTGCTAATCGTTTAGGGACTCGGTTGTCACCACAATGACTAATGCAAACTTTGCTATTCCAGATGGCGGCACGGGATTTGGCGCCAGAGTGCAGGAAACGCAAATTCTTCCGAAGTTTTCAACAGTGGTGCCTGGTGGAAAGCCAGACAATAGTGGATCAGCTTCATTGACACATGGACGGGGACAATCCTGAATCAAACTGCATGGGCGTATCATCCGCCTCCAGCTGCGCAGGAGATTCGTTGCATCTCGGCTATTTGCTGCATTCCAGACCTGGGGCTGGAATCAGAGGAGGTTATGGTCTCGGTCAATCCGGCACGATGCCTGGTGCAAAATCAGCGCAGCAGAAACCATTTCGGGTGCCCGCTGTGCACAGACATGAAAGGCTGAGAGATGTTGAGAGTGAGAGATGTGTGGTTTCTTGTCGTGTTGCTGGGAATACCGAGTAAGGCTCTGAGCAAAGCACATAAAGCACATACTGCGCACACAGTGGAAGATTGTCGGCCATGAATCGTCTTCAGGAGAAGACGGATCGAGGCTGATGTTGCTGCAGTCGCTATCACGTCCCGACCTGGGCCTCACAATACTGCTCCTCAACTCGGGGGCTTCAAGCTTGGCTGGCGGTGATGAGTCATGGACGCCAGACATGGTGCCCATTGTTCGTGCCCGAGCTTAGTGCTAGCTTCCCCGGTCTCATCCACAATCCCTCGATGTCTTGTGAGGATTTTTAAAGAGGGCATGTCAAAAGCTCCCGATACATCCCCCACCAGGCGCAGAGCGCTGCAAAGCTCCCGAGAAGGCAAAGCCAGTACCGCGACCGCCTGCGGCATCCCAGACCTCCCCGACCCGGAGGCCAATGCGTCAGGCTCGCATCCCGGAGCCTGATGCGGAGCCTACGCCTAGCGGTGACAGCGATCCAAGCCATCATCACCTTCAAGACCCAACGTCACCAAGTGCGCCAGCAGTGTGGCTGCACGAAGACCAGCCCAGAGGTTTTGGTGTGGTTGGTGGGAGTGGTCTCCTCGACACGGAAGCAGTGAGCATTTGCATGCCAGTACCTTTTGGCGAAGAAGCCGGTGGAGCGGGCCGGCCAGTGGAGGCTGCACCACGAAAAGCTCACGAAAATGGGATTGGGCGCTCAGTGGCAGACGCCGAAACCAACTCTTCCGGCCCACGCGCCGTTGGATACCATTCCTCGGAATCTGCAGCCCCTCGACCGGATATAGCAACAGGAAAACCTGGTCCATTGGACCATGAGTTTCTGGGGTCCAACGACGAGAACGCCGAAGCTGCAAACCAAGAGCGATTCGTGGCAGCGGCTCGGGCTGGCGAGGTTGGAGATCTCCAGCAGCTATTTAGTCGCAGTGGTGTGCGAGTTGATGGCTGCGTAAGCGAAGGCTAGCAGTGCCGTCAAATGCCAAAAAATGACTCTTGCGGTCCGCTGGGGGGTAGCCTTTAATGCCCTCCTCTGAGAGGACGTTTTGCCGACCAGACGGCCCTGGTGGCGGCAGCTTCCCGTGGCCGCGCAGACGTCGTGCGCATTCTACTGGATCGGATGCTCGGAGCGCATGGCACATGACACAGCCGTACCGTTAACTGTGAGGAGGCCTTCTCAATTGTCCAGACTTATGCAGTGATGCAGGCATATGCAGGCAGCCCACTTCAATTGCAATAAGGAAAGCTGCGGTGGATGCCAGCGATGCAAATGGCTGGACTGCATTTTGTCATGTAATTATGTGCTGCTCCCGACGTGAGTTCACGTTCTGAGGTTCCTACTTTCAGGGCAGAGGGATTTGACGAGTGCTGGTATGAGGCCCAAGCGCTCGGGCAGGCGTGTGCCCGCGACCCCCGCTTTGGCGCGGTGGACATTAATGGTACATCGTGTATCGGTTAAAGTCGCGCTGGCGGCGTCTGCTGCGGAACCACTTTTGGCATCGTTTGGCAGTTGCGAACTTGATTAAGCTGTCTCTCCTGCCACGGCATGCCACAGCACGGTACGTTTTTGTTGGTGTGTTCGTTGGCGCAAATCCTATTCTCGTCACAGACTCGCGCTCGTTTGCAGCTTCAAGCTGCTCAAAGTCCTAGAGTGAAAGCAGAGGGACACTAGTCCCTTTCTCGATGTGGTCTCGAAATCCCTCCGATGTAAGGGGTCTAAGATGGTCAAAGATGGTTTAGGCACGCTTGGGGTGCTTCGTTTACCCCCACCCCCGCGTGCTGCGTGCCGAGCACATGTTGACCGTGACGCGCATTTGTGCCTCCAACATTCGTGCTCCTGCCACAGTCTCGCACGCATGGAGCAGTGACTCCTCTTCCCACCACGGCGCGGTGCAAGTCAATGTTCCGGGGTGCCAGTCGTGCTCCCACACTTTGGACTCAGGGTCTTGGGAGCCTTAAGCTGGTCTTAGGGCTGCCTGGTTCTTGGGTAGGGCTTGGAGTTTCGCTTTGTGTTTCGCTGGCATTGCAATGTATTATATGGTGTTATTTGTACTGTTGCACAGCCAGGGACTCATGCACGCCATCCACGGCCAGAGGGCGGAAGTTGCTCGATATCTCTTGCAAGCCCGAGCTGATGTCCGGCAGGCACGAGATTGCGGCACTTCGCTTTGTTCGCTTTCGACTGAGATCAGAGGTGGCTGACAAGAGTGGATCAACTCCACTGATCCTGGCAGCTTCCGGGGCGCGGCATGAGCTCTGCAAAATCTTGATTGAGCACAGATCGCCTCTCGAGATCTCGGACATGGAAGGACGGGCAGCTCAGAGGTTCAGCTGCAGACTCTAGTCTATCTAGGCTATCAGTCGTCAACCTGGAAAGACATTGGCACTGGTGCTTGCTTTCAATGACACATAATGACACTGTTGCAGGATCCACAGCCCTGCACCATGCCGCTCGTAGGCGAGGACCAAGTGCACTGTGGCCAAGGTGACAAATTCGTCATTTTTCACGGTGATCGGTTTGTGTCACGCTCGAAGGGGAAATGGGGCAGCCGTGATGACGCTCTTAGCCGCTCGTGCTAAACTGGAGAAGCAGGACGCACAAGGTGGCGCCCTCAAGCGAAGAGTCGTGCTTCCAGGTTCTTGAAGCAAGGGCCGAGCTGCATTTGATGGGACTCCGCTGACCCGAGGTCGAACACCTTTGCTGGCAGCTGCGGTCGCAGGCCGAGCGAACACCGTCCCTTCCTCGATGTTTTCATGCGCTGCGACCCAGAGTGAATCTGCTCGCAGCAACAAGGAGAGGGAGAGAGAGAGAGAGAGATGGTTCCTCGCCAGCCGTACTCTACCGGTCGCACCTGCCACTAAGGCAAAATCTCCCGACCGCTGAAAACCCCAAAGCCTCTTCCACCGCCTAAACGGGGAAGGGGGGGCCTAGGCCCGGGTTCGCGCGCGAACTCATCCCCCGCGAAGCGAAGCGAAGCGAAGAGAGAGAATATGTTTGGTCTTAGGTCCAGCTTCTGGTGGGGCAAGGAGCCAACGTGAAAGCCCTTCGGAGTGAGAAGAAACCTTGGATCTGGCAGATGTACCTTGAACTGGCCTTCCAAGGCAGCCGACTGCACTGGAAAAGGTGCCAAAGAGCTCGCGACTGCATACCAGCATGCACGAGTTGTTCAGCAGCTCGATGCGACAGCCTCAGCCTGTTGAACCGGCCGCATCCAGGTGTTAGGGATGCAGACAGGAACATACTGAATGCCTGATCTCCTCTTAAAAGAGTCATATGGCCATATGTCTTCGGTTTCCAACGGTGTTGGCTGTTGAAAAGGACCGCCAGTACTTATATTGAATGGAGTAGGAAGCGTTTGTGTGCCAGAACGGTTTTTTTCACCACAGCTGTCTTGGATTACAGGCAATCACAGCGACTGCGAAGTGAGCGTCAAAATTGCGCCCACTTTACATGGCAATGTCATGGAAGCGCCGAATTCAGACGGAACACTTGCTCAGAGCAAAAGGAGACCTGCTTTGTTTAGTAAAGGGCGGTACTCAACAGGGTGATTGCTGCTGATGCATGAATTGCATGCAGCTTGTGCTGTCTGAGCTCGGCTTGGGTTCAAGCGTATTTCTATTGTTCTAGTCTCCATGAAGACGGATGGAAACCGCCACTCCGCACCTATGTCAGGACCTCCAGGACTGGCTGTGCGCTTGTTTGTACTTGTCGATGTCATGTGGTATCCCCGTAAAGCCATGTTTTTCTCTGAACGTGCAGGTACCATCCTTGCACCGTACTGTCCAACTGTACAGGATTCTCTTGCACTGACTGTTTGCGCATGCATCCGAAGCGTTCTTGCCTGGTAGGAGCAGTACAGCCGGAAAGAAAAAATAGTATACGGTCTCTGCTTCAGAAGTAGTGATATTTGAGTGTGGTTTGTCACCTAAACCGCCTAAGCCAGTCAGCACGACATGAAAAGAAGGTGATCTCACTTTGCCCTCTGACTTCCCCTGGCCCCGGCCACGTTCAAACGAGCGAAGGCATCTGATAACCGCAGACCTCTTCTCACAAACGATCACAGGACACCTACCATTCCTGTTGCACTGCACCAAAGACTGGCAAGACTAGCAGAGGCTCGGTGTTTCAATAAAGCTGAGATCGGCTTGTCTTTCTGGCATGGCAGGCACTGCATACTGGCTATGCATTACAGCTTACCAGCTGATCTATTCAATGATAACGTCGAGCTTTGCCCTCTCGGTTCTACCGAGAGAAGCAGAAAGGCTTAACAGCGCATCTCGGTCGCACAGGGGAGTTGAAAGGGGCTCGAGAATGTTACTGTTGTGAGCGATAACACACCCTGTTGAAATGGAGTGCTTGTCTCTCCTCTCCAATGGGCTATCCGTAGCTACAGGAAGCCTCGAGCCTGTGGCTGGCAGTCTATGTGATGATTTGCGGAGCCACGCAGCTTGTATGTGGCTGGCTAAGCTTGTACTCTACGGAGTCGCTGCCAGGTGCCATTGATTTTGCTTTCTCAGGTCCCGTAGCAGGCATGTGTTCAGATCGCTTCTCCTCCGCTTGGGGGCGGCGACGTCCGATTCTTGTAGCAGGCAGCCTGGTGGCCAGTGCAGGCTTGCGAGCAACACGAAGCGGTGATATTACGGAGAAAGGTCACGAAAAGAGGCGCCATCTCGCATGTCCCTGTGCAGGCTTTGTCCTGGTCTATTTTGCAAGCCTGCTGTCATGGCCAAAGACGTTCATGCTGGGGTTGCTTGCGACAGAGATGGCACTCAATGTGGCTTATGCCGCCCATGCCGCACTGCCAGCAGACACTTATCTGACTGACGGCTTCTGATTCGTTTGAATTATCAGCAGCTGGCAAATGCGAGCTTCATTTACACCTCGCACAACTCGGACCAATTTGCGGCAGCTTAAAGGCTTGCAGCAGGTCTAAGGGTGTTGTCCGCTCATATATGGTTTTGTTATCGTGCGAAGGTATTGCTGTAGTTGTGAAGACGGTTTTGCTATGGTTTTGAATATGGTCATGGCTTTCGCTACGTGGGAAAGAGCGGCTCAAAAGGCAGCTCCGAAAACCAGACTGTCAAGCACACAGCAGAAACAGACCCAAAAACACGCTTCGAGGAGGTTGAAGAGATATCAAAACCGTAACCAAGTATCAAAGTTGTGTGAATTACAAGATTAGCCAAAACAACCAAAGCCGTAAGAACACGACAGCATGATCAAATGAATCAACCCGTAACAGAATCATAAGAGCATCGTAACCTCAAGGAGTCGTGAAAGCATTTCAATACATAATCAAATCTAAACAAATATGTGTTCCGGGAATCTGCTGTTTGCCACGACTCCACACGTCACAACTGCAGCAGCTCAAGGACCTGAGCGCAGCAGGCGCCAGAGATCTGGAGTCTACAGGCCACCCGATTCAATTTGATGTATTGTCGCTGTGCTACAGCAGCGCATGTGCTGGATGAGGAATGCTGAGTCCTGAGCTTACCTTTAGTTTTCAGTTGCGTTGATTTTTTCAGGTTCTCCTGCTCTTCAGTTCTTGTTCATTTTTAGCCGGCGCCCCGAGCCCATGGAAAACATATGTGCAGAGGCACAGGTGCCACAAGTAGCCAGCAAGCCAGTCGGCTATATACCTACACGCTCTACCAACAGTTGTAGTGACAGTGCCTCCTACGCTTTGGATGCAACTGCATGCCCTCGACCCAAGGCATAGAAACGCAGCCCCGTGTGTTTCTGAATTTGTAAACACACGAAAAAGCCCCCTGCACATCTTGTTTGTGTGGTGTTCCCATTGTATCCTGTTGCCACTGAACCCTTGGCGCCTGGGTACCAGGCTGCTATCCGGGCTCCCTGTGACTGTACGGTGGTTCCCTGCATGAGTTTATGCCGTAGGCTAGGCCATGCTAGGCCTCATGTATGCCCCAGGCCCGACATGTCTTGTTTACTGTTTTTATTTGGATTTATTCTCCAGACAGTGCGGTAACTCTGTGCAGTTCCTGCATCTCGTGCAAGGAGAATTGACGAGCATGGCCGCCCGCGGCGCACGCCAGAAAGCTGCTTAAAACGCTCTCCCACTGTCGTACGGCGCAAATCTGGCACCCGCGTCTTGCTATGTACACAGGAGCCGAGCAGTGTGCGGCTCACTATGGCGCAATGCACGCTTTTTGCTCTTGCATCGCGGTGGCCACGGGTCTCCGGGAGGTCAGATTCCTTGTACTTTCAACAGTGGGAAAGGACATTGAGTGTCCCGGTGGATCCTGCCAGTTAAGGCGGGGAAGCATAAGCATCATTGTCCCGAATCAGCGACAGACCTTTTGTTTTGCAGGGGGTTGTACCGTCCCACCATACACTGGCCGGATTCAAAAAGTACTTCGGGGATCTATATTCTGGTCGTTGAGCCAAACGCCGTGCCCGTGCTTCGGGTATTGCTGCTATCGGACACTATCATGAATCCCGGCAGTAACTTGGGGAAAAGCATTCGGGGCGTTTTCCTGAATGCGCCCTTTTGTTGCGGAAAAGCAGTTTGGCCGCATGCTGGGACATGGCGTAATGCTGGTAGAACAGATGGCCAGCAATTGCAACCGGGACCCGGTTACCCGCATTTTCCAGAACAGTTCAAGCCCGGCCGCATGTGACCCTTTGCCCGGGAAGCTCCGCCCAAGCCACGAACTCATGGCTTAAATGCTGGCAAAACACTGCTGGAAGCTTTTGCGACCTGAATCTCCCTGCACAATTCAAATCCGGCCGATGCACCACGACAGAGACATGCAGACACGCATGCACTCAAACGCGCGCACACGTACGGATGACCAGAGGCACAAGCACACACGCACCCACAGAAAAAAAGAAGGCACTGGCAGAAACTCGCACCGGCACACGCCACATTGACGTGCACCACGAACATGTGTCAGGATGACCGCTTTGTTCCACTAGCCTCAACTGCAGACTTGCTGTATGATGTCATGGGCACGTCTTTATGATCCTCCTTGTGTGTATCTGATACGGTCCTTCTCTGTTTGGGGATCTATGCTAGGAGGCCTCAGATACATGGGACCACAAAGCAAAATGAGAAAACGACCCGAAAATATTGAGCTTACTTACATCATTTCTGTCTTGTACAGTCGGTCGTGCTGTGCTTGATATTGGTAGAGGTTCAGCTGGGCACATGTGGTTTCAGTTTGTCAATAACTCTATTCAGGTCCGTGCCGAGATGCCGAGGCTGGCATCGTCTCCGGGATCATGGCAGCCTGGCTGCCTGTAAATGACGGCAGGAAGTCAGGAGGATGCTAGCTTTCGTCACCTGAAGACTGGAGGCATTGCACTCCTTCATTGGAGCTGTGTTGGCAATGGGCGTCATGGAACTGATGAAAGGCCATTAGAATCATTAGGCACAACCCTCGCAACTGTCAGCCTTGACTCGTCAACAGACTGACCGAAGTCCCATGATGTCCCATGTGCGATTGAAAATGCATCGTCCACCTTGCGTCATGGTTCTAGCACGGCTCTTTTGTTGCCAGCCCCTGGCAGGTCAGCCACTGCAAATGTTCTACATAACTTATGCGGCTGGGGTGGTTTTCTGTTCGTCAATTGTATGCGCAGTTGCCAAGGAAGATGCTTGGTGATCTTAGTGATTTAGCGTCTCGAGTACAGTTTCAGAGATTTTTTCGAGCGTGAGTTCAGCTGACACCAGTGTAATCTTGCGCCGTGCGTGGAGTTTCAGCATCTCAGGAAGCCAGCGTCCAGACTTCGGCGGCTTTACCCAGCAGAGGTTCGAACCTGGGCTGAGAAGCCAGCATACATTCGTAGAAGTTGCAGGTGAGATACTGTCCGCATACACCCTGGATCTGCCGGCCGATCTTGACTTTTTTTGGGTCTGCTGTGGACGGCTTCTCTTCTACACAAGCCAGGCCGAGCCTGGGCGGCATCCAGTGGACAAATCTCACTTCTGACACCGCATTTTCGCAGCTGTTCGCACTCGAGGTGATAGTGTTTATGGAGTATTTCATCCGCGACATGTTCGAGGCGGTGATCGAGAAGCGCTTGCTTCTGAAGACGTTGAAAGCCTTGTGTATGCATTGGAGATGGCACATGCCATAACCATGTACGCAGGATTGCAGAAAGTGTCACACACCGAGACAGGTGAAGGAAGAGGCAATGGTGATCTCGCGATTGAGCACGTTAGTCACCCAGCGCGCAGATTAGCAGTCAGCAGTCACGTTTTGCTTACCAGGCAACCAGATCTAACCAAACAGATCTTGTGTTTCAGACTTGATTTCTGGATTGGTTGCTGCGGCCGGTCATGTGCGATGCAAATACCAGCATGCTCTCAGAATTTCGTGCGACACCTCCCAAGAACATGGCTTCTTCAAATTGGAAATTGCGTCAACACTGCCTGAAAGAGAGAATGAATGAAAGGACAACTCCTGAACTCGGCGCAGCCTCCGACTGATCTGGACGGCACAGAGAACTTAATCGGCTTTCTGCAAGTGCATCTAGCTGATCAGAAATCAAAACCATGGTTTCGTTTCACAGTGCAGACAGCTTGTGGATGCCGTGCGCTCCTTCAACTCGTACGTCCCAATGAATCTGCAATGCAGAATCCTGGCAAAGGGAGACCATTCCAATATGTTTCATCTCGTCTATCTACCACGATAAGTTGTGATTTCAGCAAAGTTAGCGGGCAGGCTGAAGCCAATTGTGAACTCGCCGAGTGCAAATTGTGCACGCAGAGCCGTGGCAACACACAGCCAACCGTCTTGTACATCTGCCTGTGAGAGGACAGTGTGTATGGCCTCGCGTCGACGGTGTCTCCGGACGCTAGATGTCGAGAAAAAACCGGGTTCGTTCTGGATCCCTTCGGCACGCTGAAGTTGTGTCGGCGACATGAGCTGGAGAAATGAGTACTGAATGAAGACAATTTGATGACACTACAAGACCCCCTCAAAACGCCGAATATCGGGCAATGTGAGTGTTTGCCTGTGCGTGCTTGACATGCTGGACAAAGGACGTAAGACAGCCGCGGTGCCACTGGAGTGCAGCAGGCTCGCACCAACACGGACCTGTCTGCTTTCCTGTGATATCAACCTGGGACTACTCTACTAAAAGTGCTGTTTCACGTGGCCCAAGAAGTGAAGTCGGGCAGATCTGTGTGTGAACGAAGCATCAAGAAGCGACATGAGATTGGGATTGAAATGAGAAGAAATACATCCTGCTGACCCACGAAAAGCTTAGGCCATTTCGAGGGTCCCTTCAAGTTTCAAGTGCGCGTGTCCGCGTGTGCACAGTTTGTGCTACAGTCAGCTCGTGGCGATGCCCAGCATTAGCCGTTTGCCAAGGTTCTTATCGGACAGCTCGTTGGCGCTGCCGTGGCACTCCCCAGCAGCCGTCTTTCTGATAGATTCGGCTGCAAGCCGATGGTGTTCGCTTCTTGTTATGTACTATGCGCCGCTTATCTGCATGGCCCGACTGCCCTTGGTCAGCTTTCGAGGATGTTCGAGGCATGAAAGTTGTCCAGCCTGTTGTAGTGCTGGCAGCAGGAGTCGAACTAAGAGTCGTAGTGGCAGTAGCAGACTGCTGGGGACTGATGCCGCCAGTAGTGCAACAGAGTTAACGAATACAACAGAGTATGGTGATGGGCGTGATGATGATCACGATGAATCAATGTTGTAGTCATGTTGACTAATGACAGCAACGCAAAGGCTGGACAAAATGTATTGGTGCTCACACACCCCATCCCCTAACCAATGATCCATCAGGGATCAAATTTCCCCCGAATTCTCCAGATCTAGCGTAATGCATATATCATGACTCATAATAATGATGACAGCTGACGATGATGTCGTGAAGCCATAGCCGAGAAGCGTAAGCCGCGCAGACATTGTGTTTGAGTCCAGTCCTGTTGGCTACCCACTCGTGCTCCGAAGTCTGCCCCGCTGCCTGTGTTGGTTGCATCAAGTGTTTTTTAAATGTGTAGTTCCCTAGGTTCTCCACCTGTTCTGGCCTGATGCAACCAGGGTTGGGCAACACAATGTGGGTCCGAGCACTTGCAGAATCATCTCACGATTGCTTCCAGGTTGCGACAGGCTGGTATGTTGTTGCCAAATCCACCTCTAGCCTTTTGGCCGCGTTCTGTTGTCGAGATGATGCTTGAGGCAACCTTTCTGACCTTCGTCATTGCACCAAAGTTCGGATGGTATGTCATGGAGATTGGAGCTACTCTGTACGGCTTGGGAGCTGGGTCCTACATGAGTCGGATCCTTAGCCACGAGCGCAGGCGCAGAGACATGATTTCTGGCCATGGGCAAAGCTTTCCCACAGTCCACAGCCGGTCAAGAAGTCCCCCCTCAGCTCTTCTACTACCACAAAAACTACTACTACCACCACCACGACGATTACTACTACCACACCTACTACTAATATAACAATACGACTACCTACTACTACTACTACTACTACTACTACTACTACTACTACTACTACTACTACTACTACTACTACTACTACTACTACTACTACTACTTATTACTACTACTACTACTACTACTACTACTACTACTACTACTACTACTACTACTACTACTACTACTACTACTACTATAATACTACTACTACTACTACTACTACTACTACTACTACTACTACTGCTACTACTACTACTACTACTACTACTACTACTACTACTACTACTACTACTACTACTACTACTACTACTACTACTACTATTTTCAATTGGACGCCGTGCGAGCGGGCTCAGCACGTTGCGTGCGATTGCCGCTTGTGCACTCAGTTGAATGTGAAACTGACCCGATGACCCTGTATGGTCTGAGAAGTCCTAGAAGAGATCCAGTGATTTGTAACTGGAGTTGCGGCCTACCACGTATGTAAGCAGCTTCAATCGCGGACAGTGAAGGTTCTTACATCCTGCCTGCACAGTGCGGGAGAGCGGTTTGGTACATGAAGCAGGCATGTTGCGCACGCTCAATCGAATCTATAGTGGTGCAACTCCGAGGCTGCGCGACTGCTGTCTGTCACTTTTTCAAGCCTGATGGCGACGGCTCAGATGCAGAAAGACCATCAGCCTGCTGGGCAGGAAGAAAATGTGAAGAGACTTGGTCAGTCAGGCATTGCCTCCGCGACTATGCAGCTACTCTGCCATTGGCACCCTTTGGAGTGACGTATCACTGGTGCCAGGAGTAGCCGCCACTAGAGCTGGAGCCAGAGCCACGCTGCCACCAGCTGCCACCAGACCAGTCTGATCCCGGCCATGACTCGCCATCACGATGGCGCTTATCCGTCCGGGTGGACGGCTCCTCTCCAGAGCGTTTGTCACGCTGCTCCTTCTGGCGATGCCGCTGGAAGATGGAGGTGTCGCCTTTGTGCTCGATTCGCAGCTTTCGCTGCACCTGACCATCCTTGGGCTGGTAGAAGATGGCGCGGTTTATGCCCCGGCTTTTTCGGCTGGTCTGGTCATAAATGCACTTGAAGGTGGACGCCACGATTTCGATTTTGTCATCCGTTTCCAGTAGGGAACTCATGTCAGAGTGGTCCCACATCTTCTGAAAGAGGGAGTGCACGATGCCACAGTACACGGTGGTGACTTTGAGCTCGGTGTAGCGGTTGTTCGTGCCACAATGGTCAGGGTAAAATGGCCATCGGCCCCGACCATGAGCTTCGCCTCAGTGATGTCCGTCCAAGTCGCATCTTTGTCTGTGGCGACCCGCTTGATCCGGGCAAAGATCCAGGGGACCCGGCCTAGGGCCGTGATTCTGTTGGTCCACAAAATAACCTGCTCCGAGGCTGTCAAGCCTCCCGTAATGGCCTGCTCCTTCATAATGGCTCATCATGGAGATCGTGGCAAAGGCGTGGACAAATTTCAGCATCTGGTCAGATTGACAGACTTGACCAATCTGGTCCGCTTGGAGAGCTGGCTGGCTTCTTGTTCTGGTGAAATGTTCTTGCTGTGGTCCAGGAGCTGTGTGGTTGTGACTGGGCCCTGGTATTTGACAGCTGCTCTGGAAGAGGGCGCGTCCACTTTGTCCTCAACGATAATAGTGCCCGGTGCCGGAGTCTGCGGAGCTTCCTGTGCCTGAGGGTCGTCATGGCTGCTGGAGGAGGCGGCTCCCGGAAAGGCCGTGAAAGGAGCGTCGCGGGTCTGGGATGGTTTGGTTGGAGGAGTATAGGCGGAGTTGATGCATCTGTCCCGCTGGTCGGGGGAGGGTTGGGGGGCTCAGTCACAGTTGTGCCGACTTTGGAGGAAGTGGTGTGTCACCCCGAGCTCATTTGGAAATTTGAGCTTGCGTCCCTGGTGGTCGCAGTATCTGCAGGAGAGCCAATCTGGCTCGTCAGGGTGCGTACAAAGGCCTCGGGGGATGTTGCGCAAGACTACCTCTGCCGTGATACCCTGGTACTGTGGTTCTCGGTCGATGGCAGCCGTGATCCTGTCAAAAAGTCGCCCAGCTCCCGCTGCTGTGCACTGTTTCGCCAACAACTCGAACCCCTGCATTGGTGAGCAGTGCTCCCGGCGCAGTCCATTTGTGGCACACTCTGCATGAGAGTGCGTTCCATGCGTTGTGCTGCACGAGGATCTCTTCGGAATCCCTTCTGCCAGTTCCAGCATCGCGTGAAGGCCACTCGGGTATCCGTTCGGGTCTCGAAGTAGTGTCCATCATTCTGTAGCTCACGAGACTGCTTGAGCTGCTGGGAATGTCTCTCCCGTAGGAGGTATATTGGCCCAAACCTGCGAGATTGGTTCCAGCCTGCAACCGGGGTGTGTCCCAAGTCTGCCGTGACAAGGCGCCATAGCTCCTTGCAGAAGATCATGCACTCGAGGTTGGCGAACCTGGTCAAACTTGCTTTGCTGAACGCATGGTTCAGCGCGGGTAGGAGCAACGGGTGGCGTGGTTGGCCATAGATGATGCCTTGAAAGATGTGGTCATTTTTGACTCCAATGGCCATGATCAAGTACTCCCTGGGCAGAGTGCCAGGGAGGCCTTTCGGGCATTGCCCCAGCTCCTTGCTTTTGTTGACTTGGACATTGTCCCACTCCAAGGCCAGAAGCTGCAGTATGTCGTCAAATGGCGTCCGGAGTGCAACCTTGATGTCCAACTAATAGTGATAGACGTACCTCCAATCGTGTCTGCAGGCCATCAAGGATGCCACCGCCAGATGGGAGGACCTCTTCACGCAAGGAAAGGTCACGATGGCCCTCAAGACGGCGGTCACGATGGGAATGATGACGATGCTCAAAGAGCAGATGGAAAGCCTGCAGCTGGACGAGGACAGAATGCAGTGCTGCAGGGAGGCCGGATGGTTGGGCGAAGGCCGCCAAGCTCTGGATGGCTGGGACGCCCAGAACAAGTGCCAGGTGAAGGCGCCAGTGGACCCGGTCCGCGCTCGCACACCGCCATCCTCAAAGACCTCGACCTGGCACTCCGCTACCTCTCAATGGATGGTATTCTGCTGCGGTTCAAGTGCACCAAGAAATCTATCCGAGGAGCTGGAGGGGGAGGTTGTTCTCTTTATGCTGTCGATCAGCTTGCGGTCTCAGGACGGACGACCTGCATCGCATTTTCAAGAGCCTGGCGGGATGTGTGTGCTGCAAGCTGCTGGAGCAGAATTACCTGGGCCAGGACTTTTGCGAATGGAAGCAGCGCTGGGGAGACCGGAAGAAGGGCACTTTCGAATCCAGCTGGCATGAATATCTGCTATGCCAATGCTTCGGTGCAGGCGTGGTCCTGGTTGCGTGAGCTTTCGAACATGGCTGCTTCACTGCAGGGCACCGCTCAGGTCGGCCCACGCCTCTTTTTGCGCATGCCACCTCGCTTTTGCTTACTGCTAGTCAGCCATTTAGGGTCTTGTTTCAGGGATGGCACGGGATTCACCAGCAGCACGATGTAGGTGATTTTTGGCAGCACATGGTGAATGCCTGGCAGCTGGATGGCTTTGCAGGCCAGTGGCAAGCACGCTTGATGTTTCCGTTTACAATCACGGATACGGGCTCGCTGGATTGCCCCATTGCTCTCTCTCTCTCTCTCTCTCTCTCTCTCTCTCTCTCTCTCTCTCTCTCTCTCTCTCTCTCTCTCACGTTGCAGGGCCTCATCAATGATTGGCGCAATCAGTATGCTGTTCATGGCTTGCATAACAGTGGTGGTGTAGTCTGCTTCTGTCTGCAAGGATACCACGAAACTCGTCACAAAGACACGACTCGCGTGACGATTGAGCCAGGTTCTCGCGTGAGCCTGCCGCACTTCTTAGCTCCGACCGAGAGCACAGAAGTTGCCTCACTGGACTATCAGGTGGCGTTCGTTATGTTTTACCTCGAGGCTAGGGTCACTAGTGGTCATTATAGGGCTGCCCTGAGCGTTCCCAAACTTGATACCAACCCACCTACCTGGTCCTTTTGGATGTGTGATGATAATCGTAGCCCTAAACCCGACACTAGCAAAGAGCTTCGATCCATTGCACATAACGCCTACCTGGCAGGTCTGATCAGATCATAGCACAGTAGCCCTGGTCCGCCTCAGCAAACGTTTCTGCGGACCTTGGCTGACACAGTTCGATGCCTCTCCGAAGCGACTGAGTATCGTGCCAAACCACCCTTAGTGCGACTTTTCATTTTGCATGCCCTGAGTCTTTCCGTCTTTGTTGATCTGCACGCCGTGCTGAAACTGCCTTGCTGGTCATTGGATGGCAAGCTGGCTCGAAGCATCGGCATCGGAGCTAGACCGGTTGGGCTGTGGCTTTCACCCATAAGTGTGGCCCTCAGTCTGCCAAGCCAGGGATGTGCACACCTTTTTCATCAGCAGCGCCAGTTTGTGATGCTTGCAGCACCATGGCCCAAAACTGGGGAGGTGTCTTTACTTTGGAGGTTCCGGGTGATGTACATGATGATTTCTTGGAATGCTATTTGGCACTGAGCTGCGCCCGACATTTGTACGTCTTATGCCATGGAGTGGCACCGCCCTGTCACATTGGCATGCTGTCACGTAATGAGTTAGTACAATCAATGGACAACGGCTGAGCTGAAGGCGCCTGAGCGCTGCGAATTCCTTGAATATGTGGATCAGCTTGCCTCCACGTTTTCGGCTCGGGCTCATCCATTTCTTCCCCCGCCATTGTGGCTGGATACACACCACATCAGCCCAGCAGAGACTTTGGCCAGAAACCTCCTTGAATCTGGTTCCTGCCCAGCCTGGAGCGCGGCCAGGCAGGTCGTGCGCTTGCTACAGCATGAACAGCCGCGTCACGCGTGTATGAGCCCGGAGGGCAGCGGAACCAGTTTCTATTTTGGGGCATACTCCAAAAGGCCCCTTTACGGGGCTTTGCCGCATGACTCTGACCCACCCGAACACGGCTCGCCTGCTAAATTTTCTGCTTATGCGCCTGTGTCCAGAGCATCGGTGGACGACTGTTGGAGTCTTGTTTAACTGCTGTATGCCGCTCCACCTTGATCGGGGCAATGCCAGTGAGCTCAATCTAGTTACCTCCCTTTCTTTGCATGATGACGGAGAGATTTGGATTGAGTGTGAGGGCGGCACTGAGTTTCACGAGCATATTGGCAAGATGTTTGCAGGGCTTCGTTTTTGTGTTCAGTTGCAGGCAGTTCGCTTTGCAGCTAACGTTCGCCTGCATTGCACATGTCCTTGGAACACTTTTGACAGAGTGCTGCGTGTGGCTTACACGCCGGGTCACTGGGATGCTTTGAGCCTTCCATTTTTGGAGCAGCTCTCAGAGCTGGGTTTCCACTTGCCGGAAGCTCGCAGTGATAGGCCGCCACCCAGGTTGCATCTGGATTGCTTGCCGAGCATACTTCGGGATTAACAGCTTGCCCTGTAGCGCCTTGCATCGCAGCCCATATGGCGTTGATGTGAGGGTGCAGAAGTCTGTTGCTGGATGTACACGACATCGCCCTGCAGTGCAAAAGGCCTCCTCCGCAGTGTTGCCGATTAGACTGCCACCGGTGAGCATTTGCCCGGCCTCTGCATTGTCCAGCCTTGCTTTGTTCAGGTCCATGGCCACCTGCAATGTACCCGGCTGCATGCGCCGCTGTGGTGGCAGTCATTCGCTTTGCTGCTCCACTTGTGGCCATGGCTTTCATAGCAGACGCTGCGATAGACGCCAGCGAGCAGTCTTGCGAGAGCAAATGTCTCGATGCTTTACTGCGAACTGCACTCGATTAGTTGCTGTGGGTCATACACACTGTTGTGCTAGATGCCGCCGCACCCTGGGAGTGCAGCACAAGCACAGCTGTGAGATTCGTCAGCATGCGTTGCTCCATGCACAACAGCTGGCTGTTATACCTATGATGCAGACTTCAGCGAATGTGGATCTCAACCAGATGGATTAAATCAAGGTCCTCTAAATATGTAGTTAGGTTGGTGTGGGTATCACCAAAAGTGTGATGTGACTTCAAGTCGCCGGGCAAAGCCTGACCCCCTCGTCGAACACCGTTACTCCGCGAAACGTTGGCAATGCAATACTCCTACTACATACCACATACTACATACTACATACTGCACACAACAGCAACAGCAACTACAACTACGACCACCACTACTACTCCTACATGATACATACTACAACAACAAATGCTACTACTACTAGTACTACTACTACGACTACTACTACTATTACACTTACTACTACTATACTATTACCACCGCCAGTACGGCTGCTGCTGCTATGGCTGCTAGGAACTCGCCACCGGCAAGGTCCCCGATGTTTCCGCGAAAGGCATCAAAGATTTCGCGACGCAAACTGTTTCAAGATGCAGTGAGGGCTGGCCGAAGATATGCGTGTCTTTCCAAACAAGTACATTTTACGCGAAGTTGATCTGCTCGAAACCAAAGTATGAATTTCGATTTAGTTGTGATGCGGACACCCTCCCAGTTCCTGCAAGCAACAAGTTCCCTAAAATCCTATGCTTGACGGCCAGTTTGGAGGCTCGTCCGCAGGCCTAGTTCTTTCCAGCACTTGAAAAGTCCAAACTGATGTTGACCCCGTTTGAATTTGATGGTACCATGGTGTTCGGTCAAGAGTTCATGCAGCTTTTTTCTCATGTTGAGGATGGTGTTACGAGCGATTGTTGCGCCGCCCAGGTGTCGACTACGCGCTTGCTCTCAAGTGCCTGCCGACGTCAAAGGCGGCATCGTCACCGCCAAAGTTATGCAAGTATGATGAGGCTGTTTCGAGTCAAAACAGCAGCGAATGCCTGCAGTACCTGCCAGGAGAGCGCACAATCCTTTGGTCTTTGGGGCATTGCCGGCTTCCTCGGCAGCTGTTTGGGCCCGTTCTTGGTCGGAGGAGTCTTGTTTTTTTTCCCACAGCCAGGCCACTCGGCTTTGAGCAGGAGTGTACAGAATTGCAGTCATCAGGTTCGCCGATTTGCAAAGATGTCTCCTATTTCATGCCTGCTTCAGAAGGCGGTGTTATTGTGAAGAGGGTCGAAGAGGCGTTGCGGAACCGGCTGTGCAATTCGATCTGAGACCCCACCCCTGCTCGAAGCTTATTAAGAGCCTTCATAGAGTTGACTTCTTAACTTTCACATGGAATATGCGGTCTGATGGATGTGGATTTTCTAATAAGCAGATAACAGCAGACTGTTCCGAAATTGCATTGGCAGGCTTGCTGCTTGTTCATTGAACAGCCACAGGGAGAGCGACAAATTCGCAACAAGACGAACCTGCAAATGCTTGGGTCCCAACCCTTGGAGCACCCAACGGTGCGTGCTGCTGAGCATATAGAGAGGACTGGACCCACATGCCCACAGAGGCCGGTAAGGCGGCCTTTGCAGGCACCAATGGCACCATGTCTCCATGCGATGGAGGTCTCCAAGCGACAACGAATCATTACGTAAGCCCAGGCATATGCAATTATGGATTCGTATCAAGCCCCATTCTCGATTCGAGTCTATGGATGTCTATGGGCCTGGGACTGCTACAGGTTGCATCGGTTTCTTCGACTGTGGGGGAGATAATCGAAGTGGCAAGGGGTCGTTTGTGATAGGGTCTGTGGAAAGGTCCCGCGGAAGGGTTACGGGTAAGAGGTTTTCCGCGATGTACAGAATCAAAAAGAATTGAACAACACCGATCACATCGCACGCAAAAAAGCTACAGCTACAGGCGCGCAAGCAGATTTCCTTGCGTGGCCAGCACAAGACGGAAGAGCTGTTTCAGCTATATACTACTAAGCAGCCCGATCTGCCAATACTTCGCAGCGAAGATAGAACATAGGTGTTCAGTCTGTGTGTCATTTAACATCAACATCCTGTCCAGGCCAACAAATGAAGTCTTTCTTGCTTCGCCACTCCGAGCCTAGGCAGCCAGCCGAGGACATGGCAGAGGAGCCATTTCCAGTTCAAGGCATCGCCCTTTGTGCTCCTACACTTCTGCTATCCCTGCATCTGTGGTGTGTATCCTGTCATCTTTGTTGCTGTCGACAGGGCTATGCTCTTGGCATTCTTGTGGCCGGTGCTCTTCCTGCGCTGGCCGTGATCCGCGCAACCATGTACATTCGAAGGGAAGTTTAGATCACTGTGCGATAGCTCAGCCGGAAAAGTTTGCTGAACGGCTCTTGCATGTGAAGTTGTAAGTACCCGGCTCGCTTTGCGCGAAGCTAGGATGTTACCCATTTTGGGAAAATTGAAGGAGCAAGGAAGCACACAAACTAGCTGACGAGAGGTTGAGGAGCAAGGAGTCCTTGCGCAAAGTGGTTTCTCCTCTGCATTATCCCCATTTGAGGGTTCTGAAACCTTGCACCTTTTGCCGATAAGCACGCGGACCTCACGCAACAAACGGGAGAGCAAAGGAAAGCGCTTCCCATCATATCTTCTCAGCCCGAGAGTTCTAGACTAGGTTGAAGCAGCAGTCGTGGGGTCTTGCGGGTTCAGCAATAATCGAGAAGCAAGCTGGGAGTGCACTGTGGCAGATCCTGTCAAGTTCTTCTTGCTTAAGGAATGCAGACAATGTTTAAGCATGATTGCTCGTTTTGTTTCGGAGCGAAATCACAGGGAGGGCATCCGCTGTAGGACTGAGACCTTCGTTGCAAACCGCTCTATGTGCTGAGATCTTTGTTGGCCCCGAGTTCCCAGGCAGCAATTTTTCACTGTAGACATGTGGAGCGTGACCCTTGCGGAGCAGAAGTGCCCTAAAGCATGAAGATTTGCAACTAGCCGAAGGGCTTCTATGCATAGCATTCGCAATGCAACATGATGTCTCTACTGCATGACTGTACTGTGTAACCGTATGAGTATAGCTGAAAACTGTAGTTGGGTTGCGGTCAGCATGTCGTCTGCCTTTTGGAAGGACAGGCGAACAATGCCAAATATCCCAGCAAGAACCTTCAGGCGGATTCCGTGAGGATCTCTTCAGACAGCGTACTGTGCAGGTGATATTGACTGCCAGATTTGGCTTCCGTGCTCTCCCTGAACCCCTTGACATCCCTTCACCGTCCAAACAGTGCACTTGACGCCCCTGCGTTACCAAACTTTGCATCAGGTATTTTGATGGGCCCGTGCAAGCCAGTGCGCGCACATTGGCGCACTCCTCCACATCAGGTTCAGGGTTTCCGGCGATTTTCCCTCAAGAGTTTCTGTTTGTCTAGGGTGTTTTGGAGAGGTTCCATAGGATTGTCTACCGGGCCAGAAGTTTTCACAGATCTGCCCTCCGCAGCCTGTTGAAGAACAGCTGCGGTCGGCTCCTGGCATCTCACGTCCGCAATGCGACGCGACATACGCATCCGCTCAGCTGGCTCGGCGGCGGCCGCTTTCGCACGGATCAACTCAACAATCGACACCGACGACTTTCTTGGTCCCTTCTGGACAAGTCATGCAAGTCTTCTCGGGCCCGAAATAAGAGCAGCAAGAAAGTCCGAACAAGGCGACATGCGATAGGCTGAGCCTTGCCGGCCTTGCCTGCAGTTTCAGGACTCTGCGCATAACACAGGGACGCGGCTGGGGGAATTGGACAGGTCGCTGCGCTGTTGCACTGTTGCACTTTCAAGGTCTTTAAAAAACATGCTGCAGCTTCTGGGTGTTGGATCTCCCGTGCTTCGGTCCCCTTCAATTTGACGGCTCAGCAGCGCTGAGACCCTGGCTTGGAGACGCTGTCAAGCAGCTCTTGGTCTACAGAATCTTATCTAGTTTGGTGCCAAGGGAAATTGAGAGATCTCCCTGCTTCGGCCCACTCTGTCATCGCAACCACGCTCTTTATGTGGCAACTCGTGACGCACACGGGGCTTGAGCTTTGTTCACAACACGGGTGTTTGTTGTCTGAGACTTGGTCTTCAGACCGAGGACTCCGAGGACTGAACTCTGATATGTGGGAAGATTCTGGATGGCTGAGGGGCTGATGGAGCCTTGGGCTCTAACTTTTGAATTGCCCCCGAATCAGCCCAATCTCATCCGAATTCGGGTGCGTGTGCTTGACTTGCAAAAGTCATTGTCCTATGTTTCAGTCGGATGGCGAGATGATCCAGGGTGCAGTGCACCCAGTTGATCCGGCCTCGCACTGTGCAGTGCACCCTTCTGCTGAGATCGATGTGATTCAAGTGTCTGTTGAAGCTAAGGCTGCCGGCATGCCTTCTTCATGCAGTGGCTTGACAGCCAAGTGGCATCCAGAGGTTTCCTTGCGACCGCTGCAGGCCACCATGCTTGCAGATGCGCCCTTGGTGAAAGACCGCGCTGCTCGAATCGTAGCAAGTTTACGGCACCAGTTCGCTGAGTTCGCAAGGGTGCTTGGACCAACATGCTGAGTCATTGTCGGCAGCTTTCGGGTAAACTTCCTTCTCGGTCCCCTCCGCACCGTGCCACAAGCACGACGAGCACATCGTTGAGTGCAGAGGTGATCCGCTCGTTGCCAGCACGAGGTGCTTCGGCCAGCTGGAATGTCTGCCTCTTGCTTGGCACATCCAAGCGTTCCATGCGCAAGCGCAGGCGGAAGTGCCGGCGACAGACATCCTGCCTCAACGGTAGCTCCAGTAAAGTGAACACTGAAGAACTATGGACCGCTGCTGGCTTTCTGGGGCATAGAGCTGAAGAGAAGACAGACGATTGCAGTATGCAACCGTCGACGTGGCCTGGTCGTGCTGGCACCTCGCAAGGCCCATCAGATTGGCTGAAGCATCGCGTTCAGTGCAGTATTTTGTATCCTGGAACCAGCTAGTTCTGACAGTCATAGCGGCGGCAAGTGGTGGAGGAGGATTTCTGTTGAAGTCCATCGCGGCGGTAACTGTTTGGATAGGACCTACATCACCCATACCCGAAAGAAACCCAACCACTACCATTTGGGCCTTCGGGGTCATCAGTGCTTATGTGTGCAGGCCTGTGTTCCGCTCGACTGCCGCGGTTGTGCTGGGCCCCACGCATTCATTGCATCCAGGGGTCAGACTGCCACACGCACATGTGCAAAGGATGAAGACACTGATCTAGGTGCGTTGAGGACCAGGAACCGTCAGATCCAGAAGCAGCAAAGTGTAAGCCTGCAGTGGCCTCGATTGCAACGCTGGTCCCGAGCGGCTCGGCTGAACACTTGCACTGGCGCCTAAAGAATGTGCTTGGTCGCCGGTTGCGGCAATGGCTTCGGGCACAAGTGCTGGTAGCTAGCCATGTCGGCCTCGCAGGTGAAGCTTCCCACCGAAACCCTTCCCCGAACCATGACCGCCTCTGTGCTTTCTCTTGAAAAGCGCAGGCTGCTTGAAGAGCTCATTGAGGTTCACATAGCTCCATTGTTTCCCCTTGCCCTTCCCTTTACGCCCGATGACCCTCTGTAATGCCCTAACCGGCTTTCCCGTGAACGTGCACCAACGGCGCTTAGCGTTCTGGTATTCTCCAAACAAGTACTCGTCCACTCCCGCGGTGCTCATGCCTTGAAGGTCACTGACGTCCATAGGCTCACTGTTGTCAGATCAAGAGCCTCTGGTTGTGTTCGAGGCTCCTTCCACCTGCATGGCAGCGAAAGCCCAGTCATTTCTTCAGCCGATGACCAAGTTCCCAGGATTTCCAAGGTCTGCGGGGTCTCTTCACGCATCCACTGCATCCACGGGCCAGGCTGCCACACGCACGTGTGCAAAGGATGAAGACACTGATCTAGGTGTGTTGAGGACCAGGAACCGTCAGATCCAGAAGCAGCAAAGTGTAAGCCTGCAGTGGCCTCGATTGCAACGCTGGTCCCGAGCGGCTCGGCTGAACACTTGCACTGGCGCCTAAAGAATGTGCTTGGTCGCCGGTTGCGGCAATGGCTTCGGGCACAAGTGCTGGTAGCTAGCCATGTCGGCCTCGCAGGTGAAGCTTCCCACCGAAACCCTTCCCCGAACCATGACCGCCTCTGTGCTTTCTCTTGAAAAGCGCAGGCTGCTTGAAGAGCTCATTGAGGTTCGCATAGCTCCATTGTTTCCCCTTGCCCTTCCCTTTACGCCCGATGACCCTCTGTAATGCCCTAACCGGCTTTCCCGTGAACGTGCACCAACGGCTCTTAGCGTTCTGGTATTCTCCAAACAAGTACTCGTCCACTCCCGCGGTGCTCATGCCTTGGAGGTCACTGACGTCCATAGGCTCACTGTTGTCAGATCAAGAGCCTCTGGTTGTGTTCGAGGCTCCTTCCACCTGCATGGCAGCGAAAGCCCAGTCATTTCTTCAGCCGATGACCAAGTTCCCAGGATTTCCAAGGTCTGCGGGGTCTCTTCACGCATCCACTGCATCCAGGGGTCAGACTGCCACACGCACATGTGCAAAGGATGAAGACACTGATCTAGGTGTGTTGAGGACCAGGAACCGTCAGATCCAGAAGCAGCAAAGTGTAAGCCTGCAGTGGCCTCGATTGCAACGCTGGTCCCGAGCGGCTCGGCTGAACACTTGCACTGGCGCCTAAAGAATGTGCTTGGTCGCCGGTTGCGGCAATGGCTTCGGGCACAAGTGCTGGTAGCTAGCCATGTCGGCCTCGCAGGTGAAGCTTCCCACCGAAACCCTTCCCCGAACCATGACCGCCTCTGCGCTTTCTCTTGAAAAGCGCGCAGGCTGCTTGAAGAGCTCATTGAGGTTCACATAGCTCCATTGTTTCCCCTTGCCCTTCCCTTTACGCCCGATGACCCTCTGTAATGCCCTAACCGGCTTTCCCGTGAACGTGTACCAACGGCTCTTAGCGTTCTGGTATTCTCCAAACAAGTACTCGTCCACTCCCGCGGTGCTCATGCCTTGGAGGTCACTGACGTCCATAGGCTCACTGTTGTCAGATCAAGAGCCTCTGGTTGTGTTCGAGGCTCCTTCCACCTGCATGGCAGCGAAAGCCCAGTCATTTCTTCAGCCGATGGCCAAGTTCCGAGGTCTGCGGCTGGCCACTCATGGGCCGGCTGGAGTCAGTATCGGGTTCGACAAGGAAAGACTGGTCTGCAGATGCTTGCCCGGATGCAATGTTGTTCGGATGTCGCTCTACGATGTGCCCGGTACATCTGAGCATACTCCTGCTCCGTATTCGGCTGCATCCATGGATTCTGCGTCTGCAGTGCCTCACGATGCAATGCAGACCACCCAGTGGTTCGACGCGTGCCTCAAGCTGCGCGAACACAGCGGCAAGCCCGTGCCCAGCCGGTTGTTGAACACCTTGGTTTGACACTCTGCCATAGTTTGCCGCGTCTGCCTAGGGTGCGAAGCAACGATGCAAGCTTGTTCACTTTGGCCTACGCCATCGGTGGTCTGCCCGGTGCTCTGGCAACGCGTGAGCAACTTGTGTTGGCTCTTTACATGCCCCGCATTCTCTGGACGGCACCCCTTGTACCCAAGGTCTCAGGTGAGGTGGTCCGGGCGTGCTGTCAGAGGTGCCTGCGTGTGGTGGTGCCGGGGCCGCGTCTGGGCAGACCATGTATGGTCAATCCGAGCTTTGCGGCGGCCATCCGCTGTCTGCTGAATGATGAAGGGCAGGGACGTCCGAATCCGGTCGTGCAAGCGTGTGTCTCGCACCATGCGGCCATCCTGTCTTTGCAAGCCGACTTCACTGCGGCGGGGGCCAGCCGCCGGGGCCAGTCCCAAGATTCAAGCTCTTGCTCCAGCTGCCTTTTCGCCCAGAGCGGAGAACGGGCATGTTCTTCGGAACGTCGCCAGAGCGGTCGCTGATTCCATGCAGAACGGCCGGCTCGATGCTGAGGGTGCGTCAGACGTTGACATCGCCGCTCAATCGCATCCCTTATGGAAGCAATGGAAGAAGACCTTGAACGCCGTTGAGCAAACCTGGTCGCGCATTTGGCTTGGAGGAGCTGTCAAGGCCGGCACCCGACGGTGGCGGAGACCCAACTCCCCCTCGCAGCTGACACGGTGCCGATGCGGAGCTTGAAGGGCTCGTCTAAGCATCTTTTCGAGGAATGCCCGCTTTTGCAGCAAACCTGTGAAGATATTGCCCAGGCGCTGGACCTGCCTTAGGTTTTTTTCGAGGCCAGCCGCGAATTACCAGCAAGTCGGGCTGGGTTACGTCTGGCGCCCATCCAGTGCTTGCCACCAGAGTCCGCGTGCAGATTGCTGCGTGCCGCATGGGTATCAGCATTGTGGCTATAGGAGCCACCGTGCCCGACGCCGAACCCGGGTAGGGGTTTCTTTCGGTTTAGTCCTCTAGACAGGGTTGCCCGTGCTGCGTTGCGAGGCCGTCGCTGGCCGCGCTCAATGCCAACCCCGTGGGGGTGCCTTCGGTTTGTGCTCCTAGGTTTCCGACCCTGTTTCTCGGGGTTCCGCCTGTCTGGTAGGTGTTTTCTTTCAGTGCGCTGCGCGGGCCGGTGTTATCACTGCCCGCATCACATCTTGGACACCTGCGGTTTATTTAACCCACACTTCGGCTGGTCAGGTTGCTGCAGTCACCAACCATCATCATCATCATATGCGTCTACAACGCATGCGGCGGCGGAACCGGATCAGGTCTTGGCTGCCTCATGCTCGAGAGCCTGTCCGAGTTTGCGCCAAACGGGCTTGCTTTCAGTTTTCAAGAGTTAGGGCCTACGCGAAGAACCTGTCCGGGATCATGGCAAGACGACCAAGATCTCTTTCACCGTGTGGTAATGCCGTCAGGTGGCCACCGCCGTGATACGGCCCTGCAGCGCGGTCTTGTGCATCCATTCACTCCTGGAGCACACCGATGTGACCATCATGCGCCTCGAATGATCTTTGCAACGACATGCAGTCTGCATGCATTCATGTTCGGCTTGTTTCAAGACTTTCAGCCCAAGCTCCGATGATGCAAGACGAAGCTGAGGTACGACACCGAGGCATTGTATGTTATTTGTAGCAGGAAGCTTGCTTCATGTTACTGGGGATCGGATAGGTTGCCTTCCATGTTTTGCCACTTCAGACGTTTAGTCAGTAGGTGGTTCACGCACACACGTACACATACTGCTCCAGGAACCTGGACATCGAGCGACGTACACAAACCTGAACCGCCTCATCGCACAGATCATTTCAAGCTTGACCGCATTTGCGCTTCGATGGAGCCTTGACCACGGAGTTCCAGACCAACCTGGTCCCCTAGCCCGTCCTGTGACCCGGTCATCTAGGCGGAGAAGGCCTACCACGAGCAGCTGTCCGGAGCGGAGATCACCATATCCGTTTTCGGGCCCGCTTCCACCATGGTTAAGTGCGACCCACGCCACTTGGCAGGATCTTGCTGCATCATTACAGCTATTTGCAGCTGCAGCAGTTTGGAAGTTGGGGCTTTGGGATGGTTTGCTACGAAGTACGGTCAGGCAAGTGACAATCCGCGACCAAGGCCGCGTCAAATACATGACCTGCTGCATGATGTACCGCGCAGCCCTCAGGACGATGCCAGTCAGCCTTCGCGGGAACGGAGTACACTGCGATGTCCGAGTGTTCTGTAAGGTGTAAATAAAGATCAGGTACATTTGTAATCTGTATATTGTGCCGTAGTATGCTGTAACGCACTGCAAACGATTTTAGCCAAGAGCTTGCAGTACACAACAACATGCTGTCCACAAGACAGTGTTGTGACACTAACACACTCGTCAAAGCACCGCAGTGTATAAGCGCTGCACAATGTTCGATGCTGTATCTAGCATCTCGTCATGTGGGGGGCTCTGCAGCCGGCTTGCTTGTCTCAGGTGGCTATGCCGTTCCGCAGGATGTGAACGCGGCACTGGCTACCATGAAGATCGCGAGTACCATCCAATTTGTGGACTGGTGCCCAGCCGGCTTCAAGTATGGCATCAACGACCAGCCGTCCACCGTGGTGCCCGGTGCAGATTTGGCCAAGGTCATGTGTGCCTGCTGCATGTACCTAGGCAGAGCTTGGTTCGGAGTGGCTGCGTCATCCCTCATTGTGAGGTGAAAGGGCATGCTGCGATGAATTTACCCATTGTGTCTGCTGAGGATCTCGAACAGCACGGCCATCGCCGAAGTCTTTTCGCGCATCGATCACACGTTTTGTCTTCGTCCACCTCTATGTCGGAGAAGGCATGGAAGAGGGCGAATTCTCTCAGGATGGACGCTGCAAGAACTGGGCAAATGGATTCACTCGGCGAAGGCGCTCTTCGGACAATTCCTTACCAGCGCCATGCGTGATACATGAGAGCTTCACTCGTTGATAGCCGGCATACATTGTTCCATTGCCCGCGCCTTTGCAGCGTGTAACACGATCCCAGTTACTTCATAACTGGATCGCCTTCATCGTGACAGCGTGACCTTGGTTGACAGGCTAACTTTTTCCAGGAGAAGATTTGACGGCTTTGGAGAAGACGACCCGAAGCAACATTCTGGCTCCTTTGATCACAAAAGTCATCAGCCTTAAAGCCAAGAGTATCGACGAGAGCGAGAGAGCTCTTGAAGCGCGCTCCTGGCTCTCATTCAGCCTCCGGCTCCGCCTTACTAGGCCCAGCCTCGTTTGCTCTACGAAGGCCCTCGGCCGGTCTAAGAAAGCTATGTCGGTCTCAGACCCCACTGCTAAGGCTGCTAAGGACAGCAGTCAGGCTCCACTTCCCGGACCTGTGGCGACGCGGTCTCCTGCTCTTTCGATCAAACATGTGCGAGGTGGCACTGAAAGTGCTGACCGTTGTCACCGCATCATGTTGGCGCGTCCGCCATTGTAATACCGTGTTTGAGATGATTGGAACCGTGTTCCCTCCGAAGCATCTTTGACTATGCAGGTTTGGACGAAAGCTCTTCGTTTGCTCTGCTTGATTTGAGAATGCCGGTGTGCTTCTCCAGGTTCCTCTCAGCATCATGTCACCCTCACAGCAGTCGTAATTTCCTTGATGATCTGTGGAGAGCACACCTCTACAGTCAAAGCAAGCCGTGCACCGTCGTACGAACTGAATAACTGAATGAGGCTCCGGTGGGGAGAACAACTCTTGACGCCCAAAGCCAGGAGAGTCGGGGAGCAATTCTGCCACCAAAAGGCTGGTGGTCATGGAACGCAGTTTCCTCCTGCCCTCAGATTCTATTGTCAAGATCCCACGTCTCCGGAGGCAAGCTTTGCACCTTGCCACGTTGATCACAGGCTACTACGAGTCTGTGCGAATTTTCGCACTGTCGCCTTTAACCAAACAACGGCACTGGCCTACGCGAAGTTTGCCATTGTCGCCTGGAGCCCTATCGGCACTGGCCGAAACCATGCCTTGTCCCACCAATGTGGTGTGATCAACTGCAGCCCCACCGCTCCTGCAAGGGCTAGTTTCGGTGCAGTGGATGCCATGTCGGCTGGCCACGAAGGCCAGGCCTGCGTCCAACAATCGGCATGCGCCGAGGAAGCGCAGGGAGCCCCGTATCGAAGCAGCAGCAAAACTGGAATACAAAACAGGGCCCATTCTGCAGGTTGGAGCTGTGAAGCCAGCATTTTGAGGGCATGCCGAGTAATTGCAAATTTGTTCGATTCATGCCATTGTTGGAGGGAGGTTTGGCCCGAGGGCGTGACAATGGTGCTAAGACACGCATTTCACATACAGTCCCGATGAGTACGAACAAGCAGGTGGTAGCACGACATCTTTTGTGTTCCAAGTTTTCGAAGCCTCAAGCAAGCGTAGATGCAACCGATCATTGGTCAGTGCAGGCCCTTACGGTTGTGGATTAGGGGTTACTGCGGTTACGGGTTGCAGGGCGCCTGAAAAGCATCACTCTCAAAATCAGCTTGCAGCCATGCTCGATTCAGCCGACTTGAAGGAGGTGCTTCTTGGGCTGTGCTGGCAACGAATTCTAGAGCTTATAATTAGGGTTTAAGGTTTCTAGTTTTAGGGTCTTCGGATTTGAAGCTGCTCATCGCGGCTCTTTAGCTGCTTGAAGTGTCTGAAGGGGGGGGGCTTGGATGTCACTCTCGCCTCGTGGCATTAACTTTCAAACATGTTCTGCTGAAGACCCGGGCGACTTTTCATACAATGGGAGGAAAGCGACTCACATGTCCCATGCCCTGATGGCGCACAATGCTCCCCATGAATACCATGCCCAAGTCACGAAAGCTAGCTCTGTGGAGCTCGCGGGAGTTGCCCTTTAGCAATTCACTTGTATTAATTATGGCACTAGGGAAAAAACAGGGTTTGCACCTTATCAGGTGGGACGTCCAAGAGTTAAGGTGGGGGGTATGGGGGTAGGGGGCCCCCCCCCCCTTCACCTTGTCATTATGCGTTTTCAACTGATAAGGTGCGCTTCCCCTCCTTTAAGGTGGTTGTGCCTGGGATAAGGTGGGGGGGGGGGGGGGGGGCCCCCCCTATCATGAGGTCCCCCCCCCCCCCCTCCTCAAGGTCCCTTGGTTTTGTTTGTGTCTGACGTTCGGCGACTGAATTGGCATAGTTCAGTGCATGTCTTGCTTCTGCATTACGAGCAACGCCTGCACCCTTCACCGGCCCAAACTTTCCCTCCGCTACTGTCGTGCACATCGCTTTGCAGAGCTCAGCACCGGACCTCGTGCTTCTAGCTTTCGTGACCAGCTCTCAAGTATGTTGTTGCGAGGGCAAGACGGTAGAGCATGAACCCTCTAGGCGCTAAATGTCAGGAGTTTTAGGCCCCAAACCTTGCCCGGGCAGGACCCGCCAGACGTCCGAAGCTGGAGCTGGAGGTTGCGTCAAGAGTTTGTATTCTGCGCAATTCAGGGCATTCCGTAGTCCAGGCGAGGCTTCGAATCCTTGGCCTTTGGACTCTACTTTGTTGTTTTGTTTTTATTTCTCTTTGTTTCTTTCTCTCTCTCTCTCTCTCTCTCTGTCTCTCCCTCTCCCGCAAGTACATCTCTCAGTGTTTGCTCTCTGCTCTTTTGCTTATGTTGTGAGTTCTTCTTGGTGGGTGCCTCCGAGCTCGAGACCGAACCATTCCCGCAATTGCGGAGCCCCCTTCCGCGCCATGCTTTCGACCGTCCTTGTGGCCATCGCAATCGCGGGTCATGCCGAGTCGGCCATGGACCATTTGCAGCTTCTGCAGCAGAAGGTGATCCTGGCTCCAGAAAAGCAATGGAAGCGCTTGCGCGGTGCTGAACCGCTAAATTGGATCCACTTCCCGAAGCTAGGCCCATTGGGATGTTTTTGTTACATCTGGCGTTGTTCCAAAGGTCCTTCCGATGGACCATGGGGAAAAAAAACTGTTCCAGGGCGAAGCCTGACAAACGATTTGAAACAAATGACGTATGGGAATTTCAGATGATCTTATGTTGAATGGCTTTCAGCGGTAAAGGGCCAACCTAGGAAATGCGGCAGCTCATTGGTCAACGGGATCATCCACATGCCTGGTTTTTGCCCAGTCCTGGACAATGTCACGATGAGTGACGAGATCCAAGGCTGGTGTTTTCTGAACACTTGGCTGCGGGGCCGACATCCAGTATGCCGTTTCGGTGTTGGTATCCGAAGCGATCTGTAGATTGGCATAAGCAGCAGAACCGTAAGTTGAAACATTGCCAGGTTGCCACAAGGTTGTCAGCAGCAGTGCAACACGGACTACTTCTTATGTGCTAGACCGCACCATCCGGTTGGCAATTACTCCAGCCAGGAAGGCCATTTGGTCGGCATGTTCCGAGATCCCGACCAGCGAATCCTCTCGGGCTACCAGGGGCCTTTCTCGCGCCCCACTAACAATACCGACTACATAAAAGTTGTTATTGAAGGGGTTTGTGATCGTGCGGCAATGGCAAGAATCATGTCTTTGCCTCAAAGGCCCATTCATGATTTTGCTGAGTCGTGGAAAGGTGGTATGACATATCAGCTGCTGGCACCTTCAGATGCACATATGATGGACCCAACCCGAAGAAAGATGACGCGGGAAGATGCAGTGGAGGCAGCTCGAAGAGTGACGGAAGGCTTTGCCTTTGTGGGCATCACAGAAGAGTGGGACTTGTCAATGTGTCTTTTTCACAAGACCTTCGGGGGAACTTGTAGGGCCTCAGACTTCGCAAACACACGGCCCACTTTTGCAGGGAAGTCTGCGCACACGAACTATGACACGTCTCAGCTCGTGGGCTGGCATGACGACATTGATGAAATAGTCTACACGGCGGCCCTGAAGGTCTTCCACAAGAACCTGATCCTACTTAATGTGTCTCATGACACCTGCCAGGACTGCTACAGAAGTGCAGGGCGAGGAGGTCTTACTTGAGCGCCTCTTCGACCGGGATCCACGAGAGAGATCGGTGCCTGGTCAGATTCGACGGAGGTTGCCTGAATTGTTGCAGCGTACACTCAAAGACACGCAGACAGCGTTAAAACAAAGAAAGTGGTTCGAAGGATGAAGTGCATCTCCTGTCCTGTCTTGCTGTGTTCGGGAACGGCCATCATGTACCAAGTCCGCTCGAGCCGCAAACTGCGCTTAGTGCCCGGAACAAGCCGTAAACCCAATACACTTCTTGATGCATCTTGATGCCCGGAACTCACGAAGTGCAGGAGGGGGAGGGTCCCAGCAAGGGCTTCAAAGCCGAAACGGTAGATTGCAAACCTTCAACTCCACTCCGAAAGCCTCTCGACGGGCCTAGACCCAAGCGCGAAGTCTTCCTAAAGTTTGAAGTAGCTCAAATCCCAAACTGCGAGATCGAGGATGTCAAGAGGTTCCAGCATCCGTGCTACACTTGGAGTAGCTCTGACCATCATTCTTTATATAACACCATCCGCTACCCGAGTTGCAAGGCACCATCCACGTCGCACACCATGCACGTGACCTTCGCAGCCTCGGCTTCACTCCATTAAGCCTGCCCTTGGCAAGGGCCCTCCATGATCTACGTACCGTTCCTCCATGTTCTTTGCTTTGCTTGCCTTGGTTTTGCAGAGCGCCCCGCACCAGCAAAGCTCAGTCTGCTGCAGCACACGCTGAAGCTGGAGGACACCAGGGATTCCGTCGGCTCGAGCGGCGACCAAATTTATTCCTTGTTTGTGAAGTTCCACAAGGTGGCCGGCAGCACGTGGCGAGCCTACATTGACGGCATCTCTCACGAAGAGAATTCTTGCAGCAAGGACTGTGGGAACCCGGACTGGGACTGTGAGCAGCGCTACCCCCATGACGCAGCGAGGTTCGAGTGGTGTGGTCAACATCCTGGAAAGAATGAGTCTTGTTCTGGGATTGCACACAGCTGCACCTTCCACACGAGCATGGCAGTGATTCGCCAGGCCGTTTCGGGTCAGGACATAACCACCTTGACATCGGACCTGGCCGATGTGCAGAACCTGTGGCCGAGCTCGGAACGCTTAAAGCTGCTTTGGAGAGTGGAGTGGGCACGTTCTTGGTTGCCCTCAGACTTGTATCAAAAGCGCCTAATCGTGACGACGATCCTCAGGGAGCCCATCGAGAGACTTCGTTCTTATTACTACTTTGGCGGGAACGGCTTCCTCCCAAACTTAACTGTCGAACATGCTGATGTCGGGAACCGGGCGGCTTCGCATCAAGGTTTCAAGTCCTGGTTGAAGTTCCGCAGGGACTTTATCACCGGCAACTGGTCATATGAGCAATTCCTGCAACAAGCTTCAGGTAAGGATGCTGGATCCACCTCCAGGTTCATGCTCTTGCGGTCCTGCTGTGAGTACGAGACTTGGCTGGGGGATGGCTCGGTCGAGAGGGCGAAGCTCGCTCTTGCTACGCAGTTCGACCTGGTTGGCATCACTGAAAGGCTTGATGAAGGCTTGGTGAGCCTTGGCAAGCTCTACGGCCAGACGCCTCAGCAGCTAGCTGCCGTCTTCCGAAGCATCCCAGAAATTTTCGATAACAGCGACAATAAGCTCGACTGGACCGCAGAGGAGAAGGCATTGGCCACGATCGTAGCAGACAAGAGCACGGCCATTTACAACTTTGCGCAGGAGGTTTTCCAGCGCCGGGCTGTCACGCTCTTCGGCAGCGAGGAGAACATGCTGGCTGCCGTCGAGACCTTCAAGAAGCTCAACCCAGACAGCTAGCAGCGCCAATCGAGAGGTACAGGAAAAGGCAGCCAGTGCAAAGGTTTCCAGGTTCTCTGGTTTTCCCATGCTAGCCGCCATTCACACGTCCAGTTTCCGGAGCCACGCCTTGTCCGTGGCGACCCACCACATGTTTGCAACAGGATCATTTGCAGCGGCGGGTAGTTTGCTATTGTGCACCACAAGAGTCACAAGATTTGCCCAGTGCTACACAAAAAAAAGCCAGCCTGGTCCAGATGCAGGATCCGTAACCGTATTGCGGCCTTTGACGCCCAAACCCCTGAATCTGGTGTCACATGAAGTCATGCTTGGGATACAGGACACTTCTTCATGCTGGGGCATTGTGGATGACTGATTCGGATGGCCACAGGAAGATGAGCGGCGAGCGGCGCGTCTTTGACTTGAGAGGCTCCTGCTGGTTGAGCTTGTGGTGCCCATCAGGGCGTGTGAGTTCGGTAGTTCGGTTCTGGGACCTGCGTTTCGATATTCTGCGTGCGTAGACGTAGACTTCTTAAGATGAGAGACCAGCCTCAGGACTGGAGCGTGGATCCGGCGGAGACCGCCAGTGCGCTCGCCCCAGAGAGGCGCACAGTACACAAAGTGACATAAGTGCCACAATGGGCCTGGGCCCTCAGATGCTCGATCCTTCGTATTTGTGTTGGCATTAGAACTCAGAAGCTTCTTTGTGCTCAGCAAAGTTGGCCCCTAGCTACCCTTGAGCCCAGATAGGTCAAGGCAACGCATTTTCTGTATGAGCGCAGGTTCAAGTTGTGTCTTCCTCCAGTCGGGATGTGTTAAACCCTTGTTGAACGGCATATGCCGAACTCCGCGGTGCAAACTCCTGCGATTCAGCCTGAAGCCTTCCGAAAGTTGAATTGTATTTTTTTCAATCTCAAACTAAAGCCCCACCACCTCGGCCCCAGTACCGTTATACACACGCACAAACTCAAGTTTTGGTTGTGACCAGGTCAGCTGCAGATGTTGCTGGACTAAGTGCTTGTGGGGCTGTTAAATAATGGGGGTCCCCTTGTCGATGCCCTTTCTGTAAGGATAAGAGACCCGGAAAGCGGTATGCTGATTGAAATCATGCCTTATGTGCGCGGGTTTAGTGTTCAAAGTTTTGGGGTTAAGGTTCAGGGTTAAGTTAAGGCGGTTGAGGCTTGCCGGGGGAGGTCTCCCGCTTGGAGAGGTTTGAAAGAAGGCACATGACATGCCAATTCAGGGGTAAAAGTCTAGGGTCTAGGGTCTGCATGCTCGAAAAAAGGCATGAGAACAAATGTATTCGTGCCTGCGTGCCGCCACCGATTCAGGCCTAGACAATTTCTTATAGCCGATCTCGAACCGTTTCATCTCGCGACATGTCCGGTGCCTTGAAGACCACCCGAGCTTTCTGCTTGCTTGCGTCACTTTTCATGGATGCACACGGTGACGACATTTGGGCCACCCAGCTGCTTCAACGAAAGCTGGTTCTGTCAGGCAGGGAATCCGCCTTCTCCATACATGTCCTCAATCAACCGCTAGGTAGGTTGAGATTTCGTGAGCGTTCGGTGGAGCAGCATGTTCAGTTGTGATCGCCGTCGCCATTTTGGCGTGGGCGATCGCTGGGTGCCATGCAAGCACACGCAGGACCGAGGAATATGACAATCTAGATTATTTCGGTCCATCCCTGCATAATTATGCCCCCGGTAGTTTGTTCAGAATTTAAGGTTGCTATGCTGGGCCAAGATATTGGGATGCTAAGTGCGGGTGGGGCACCCACTTTCTTCAGAGTGGACAGCATGTCAAGTGCACACTGTCGCATAGACAAGACGCTTCTTCAAATCGATAACGAACCAGGTGATGTTTCATGAGCAATCTACGGACAGGCACGGCGACAGAATTTGGCTTGCCGGAAGAACGCTTGAAAGCTGCCGAGCCTCTGTGGTGGCCCCCTGCCTGAACTGTGCCTAGCCGCGCCTGATCTCCTGACAAAGTACCGGGGAGTTCATGTTTGATCTTAATTGGCATGTCTGCTTTCAGCCCTGAATCTTAAACAGTTGAGGTTCCATTGTCCGAAATGTGGTACTTCCTTCATCAACGCCTTGATCAACTTGCCCGGTGTTTGTCCAGGATTGGCATTGCACAGCGTCGATAGCACAACTCTGGGTCCCTGTTTCGGGCCGAATTTCTCCACCAACGTGTGTCCATCGTGGTGTTCAGGCATGGAGTGCATATTTCCTCCACACCAGGCCCTCGGCAACTACACGGCCAAAGAAGGTAGATTGGTAGGATTTTTCCGTGATCCCGATCAACGCCTTCTCTCAATGTACCATTCTTGGGGCAATGGGCCTGGTTGTTTTGACTGGTCTGACACTTTGAAGAACATGACAAAGCCACCCTTTCTGGAGTATGCAGACCTAATGAAGGGGGGCATGACGTACCAACTTACACAAGCGGACCAGCGATCGACGGGAGGAACTCTTCTCGACGTGCACCGGCCCATGACCTCCGATGATGCAAGAGAGGCAGCTCGACGAGTGAAGGAGGGCTTCGCCTTTGTGGGTCTTACGGAAGAGTGGGACATATCCATCTGCCTTTTCCACAAGATGTTTGGGGGACATTGTCATGCTGAAGAATTTGTGGACATTCGGCCAACGAGTTCAGGCAAGGATGCTTCTGTGGACTATGACGCATCTGAGCTCATGGGCTTTCATGATGATATTGATGAAGTTGTGTATTCTGCAGCGTTGGAGGTGTTCAGGGCAAATATCGTATTGTACAACGTGTCACAAGATTCGTGCCGGTCCTGCTTTTCTGTCCGTTCCTAAACTTTAACCCTAGCACCTTGGCCCCATAGGCATCCGTCGCTACCCCATGGGAATTCCCCAAAACGCGGCTCCGAGACTCGCAGCGCAGACAGCGTTGACGCAGACAGCGTTTAAAAGGAGAAATGACTGTCTTGCGATCGAGGATTTGAATTGAAACTATAGGTCTACTGTAGGGATAGCGGCATAGCGGCACAACTCATCTTGCGGATGGGTTCGTTTGGCAACTTTGGGACTTCGGGCTCGGCTGATGGCTTTCTTGTGCGGAGACGAGGCAGCATCAGCCGCTTCTGTTCCGTGAACTCTTGCAGAGAAGTCGCCTGACCTTTCTCACAGGGGCTAAGCCTCCTCAAAAATGGAGCTGAGCATCCTGCTTCGTTTTGTTTGACAGAAACCCCTGTAACAACCCTGCGGCAGCGGTGCATCCGAGAGTTTCGATCTCTTGATTGCAGTCTGTTGCAGCATCCTCCGATACGTGCTTTACTTTGAAAGTGCATGTGCCCTGTTCGAGCAAGGGACAAACGACGGAATGTTCGAATCTAGCTGCACACCGATTTCACAGTTCCGAAACTAGACATCTGTGGACATGCCTATGCTGTGAACATCCGCTAGTAGTAGCGTGAAAGCGGCCCGAAAAAGTCGTTCCAACTGCTGATCTCAACATGATGTGTTGCAAGTGCAAGGCTGGGACCAGCGAGGACTGCCCCATTCAATGGCGCATGCGATGTCATCACTGCTTTTAGGCTGCAGAGTGGCCGTAAGATGCTGCAAAACAACCATTGTACGGTGACTCAAGTGTTTACTAGAGTTATTTCCGGCTTGTCTACTATCCAGCCAATCTGAGGGAAGCAGGTAATTAGTGATGGTCAGTGAATATCTGCCACTGATCTGTGCGTTTCCTGCAGGTTTAGCAGCACTTCGAGTCTACACTGCTGAGATGGAGCTCGGCGATGTTCCTGCGCTCAAGCTCAGCTGCAGACTTGGTCCTTTAACAGCTCTTACTACTATACTACTTATACTTGGGGCTCTAAGCTGACGCAGCCTCGCAGCTCCACTCCAGTAAAGATCCTTTCTACATGACCGGCACAAACATGGCATAAGTGCCATAAGCTCGAATGGGAGTGTTAGAAATATGCTTCCTGATCCAAACTGTTTGCAGACCCATGCAATCGGGACGGGTGTAGAACGAGTGAGCAGGTGAGCGTGGTTGTGCCCATATCACTTGGATATTGTTGCCAGCACTTCAAAAATATGCTTGAACAAGCAAATGCACGAGCGCCGGTGCACATGCCTGATGCAACGATGCCTGATGCACTGGGTGAAGGGTGAATTGATCAACCACTCGTAGCCGCAGTTGACACTATCATGCAAACGATGTGCAAGTACGATGCGGGTTCAATCTCGGTGATCCTTGGTACCAGCTTGTTGGTGCTTGTGTGCTTATTGATCGGGTATATGGGCATCACATGTGCTTTCAGCATCGATTGTCCCAGTTTGTGCCAGCACGTGAGAGAGGGCGATTGTTATTGTGGTCAACCTGCACGCCCAGGTGCACGGAAAGACCGATCACCCTAGTGCGAAGCCGCAAAGGTGAAGACATTGTCCGAGGTTGCGGCCTTGTTTGGATTTTTGTTTGGCTTTGCGTGTCCGGGCCTCCTGCGGCCTGTCTCTACTGACTCTGCTGCAGGATTGGAGCTGCCACGGCCGAGCGCCAGGCGACTCTAATCCTGATGATATCTGTGAGGGCCGCCTGTTGGGGACTCCGTGTGTGACTGGCTTGTTCAAGCGGCAGAGGCAGAGCGCGTGAGGATGCGTGAGGTGTGCTGTTTGATCCTTCGAACATCAAAGGCTGGTGTGGAGCCGGCTGCGGAGTCCTTGGAGGCAGGCGCAGCCTACGAACGAATGACGGGTTTCGCAGTTTCTGCAGGTTTTCCCATCTCAGTCGAGCATTTATCTGGGAGCATCTCACATGTTCTCACGAGGCATAGCAGGGGCAAGGTTGACTAGCTCGCATGAAAACGACAGAATCGACAAGATTTGTGCCCGGCAGAATATGTGTGCGTGTTTCAGCATCAGCATTGATTGGCGCAAGACCAGCGTCAGGCACCTGGAGCACCAGAACTACTGCATGTGATGTTGGACGAGGCACGTTGCTTGCAGCACTCCCGACCAGCTTTCTGATGTTTCTTTGATCATGACGCAGCTTTGCACGCACATACAGTTGATGTATCCGATATGCAATGCCGAGGCTGGACAGGCTGAGGAAGACGAAGGGCTTTGCCCCATCACACTGGCCGCTTGGATGGTTGTACGCGGCAGTGTTGTTTTTGCTTTACGTCATTTCGGACCGAACTTCACATTGGCGACGGTTTAGTCGTTCATAGCGAGAATTATCAGGCATAGAATCCTGTGGTCTACCAAAGGCGAAAAATGCCAAGAAGTTGTCATGGGTATCAGCATTGTGGCTATAGGAGCCACCGTGCCCGACGCCGAACCCGGGTAGGGGTTTCTTTCGGTTTAGTCCTCTAGACAGGGTTGCCCGTGCTGCGTTGCGAGGCCGTCGCTGGCCGCGCTCAATGCCAACCCCGTGGGGGTGCCTTCGGTTTGTGCTCCTAGGTTTCCGACCCTGTTTCTCGGGGTTCCGCCTGTCTGGGTAGGTGTTTTCTTTCAGTGCGCTGCGCGGGCCGGTGTTATCACTGCCCGCATCACATCTTGGACACCTGCGGTTTATTTAACCCACACTTCGGCTGGTCAGGTTGCTGCAGTCACCAACCATCATCATCATCATATGCGTCTACAACGCATGCGGCGGCGGAACCGGATCAGGTCTTGGCTGCCTCATGCTCGAGAGCCTGTCCGAGTTTGCGCCAAACGGGCTTGCTTTCAGTTTTCAAGAGTTAGGGCCTACGCGAAGAACCTGTCCGGGATCATGGCAAGACGACCAAGATCTCTTTCACCGTGTGGTAATGCCGTCAGGTGGCCACCGCCGTGATACGGCCCTGCAGCGCGGTCTTGTGCATCCATTCACTCCTGGAGCACACCGATGTGACCATCATGCGCCTCGAATGATCTTTGCAACGACATGCAGTCTGCATGCATTCATGTTCGGCTTGTTTCAAGACTTTCAGCCCAAGCTCCGATGATGCAAGACGAAGCTGAGGTACGACACCGAGGCATTGTATGTTATTTGTAGCAGGAAGCTTGCTTCATGTTACTGGGGATCGGATAGGTTGCCTTCCATGTTTTGCCACTTCAGACGTTTAGTCAGTAGGTGGTTCACGCACACACGTACACATACTGCTCCAGGAACCTGGACATCGAGCGACGTACACAAACCTGAACCGCCTCATCGCACAGATCATTTCAAGCTTGACCGCATTTGCGCTTCGATGGAGCCTTGACCACGGAGTTCCAGACCAACCTGGTCCCCTAGCCCGTCCTGTGACCCGGTCATCTAGGCGGAGAAGGCCTACCACGAGCAGCTGTCCGGAGCGGAGATCACCATATCCGTTTTCGGGCCCGCTTCCACCATGGTTAAGTGCGACCCACGCCACTTGGCAGGATCTTGCTGCATCATTACAGCTATTTGCAGCTGCAGCAGTTTGGAAGTTGGGGCTTTGGGATGGTTTGCTACGAAGTACGGTCAGGCAAGTGACAATCCGCGACCAAGGCCGCGTCAAATACATGACCTGCTGCATGATGTACCGCGCAGCCCTCAGGACGATGCCAGTCAGCCTTCGCGGGAACGGAGTACACTGCGATGTCCGAGTGTTCTGTAAGGTGTAAATAAAGATCAGGTACATTTGTAATCTGTATATTGTGCCGTAGTATGCTGTAACGCACTGCAAACGATTTTAGCCAAGAGCTTGCAGTACACAACAACATGCTGTCCACAAGACAGTGTTGTGACACTAACACACTCGTCAAAGCACCGCAGTGTATAAGCGCTGCACAATGTTCGATGCTGTATCTAGCATCTCGTCATGTGGGGGGCTCTGCAGCCGGCTTGCTTGTCTCAGGTGGCTATGCCGTTCCGCAGGATGTGAACGCGGCACTGGCTACCATGAAGATCGCGAGTACCATCCAATTTGTGGACTGGTGCCCAGCCGGCTTCAAGTATGGCATCAACGACCAGCCGTCCACCGTGGTGCCCGGTGCAGATTTGGCCAAGGTCATGTGTGCCTGCTGCATGTACCTAGGCAGAGCTTGGTTCGGAGTGGCTGCGTCATCCCTCATTGTGAGGTGAAAGGGCATGCTGCGATGAATTTACCCATTGTGTCTGCTGAGGATCTCGAACAGCACGGCCATCGCCGAAGTCTTTTCGCGCATCGATCACACGTTTTGTCTTCGTCCACCTCTATGTCGGAGAAGGCATGGAAGAGGGCGAATTCTCTCAGGATGGACGCTGCAAGAACTGGGCAAATGGATTCACTCGGCGAAGGCGCTCTTCGGACAATTCCTTACCAGCGCCATGCGTGATACATGAGAGCTTCACTCGTTGATAGCCGGCATACATTGTTCCATTGCCCGCGCCTTTGCAGCGTGTAACACGATCCCAGTTACTTCATAACTGGATCGCCTTCATCGTGACAGCGTGACCTTGGTTGACAGGCTAACTTTTTCCAGGAGAAGATTTGACGGCTTTGGAGAAGACGACCCGAAGCAACATTCTGGCTCCTTTGATCACAAAAGTCATCAGCCTTAAAGCCAAGAGTATCGACGAGAGAGAGAGAGCTCTTGAAGCGCGCTCCTGGCTCTCATTCAGCCTCCGGCTCCGCCTTACTAGGCCCAGCCTCGTTTGCTCTACGAAGGCCCTCGGCCGGTCTAAGAAAGCTATGTCGGTCTCAGACCCCACTGCTAAGGCTGCTAAGGACAGCAGTCAGGCTCCACTTCCCGGACCTGTGGCGACGCGGTCTCCTGCTCTTTCGATCAAACATGTGCGAGGTGGCACTGAAAGTGCTGACCGTTGTCACCGCATCATGTTGGCGCGTCCGCCATTGTAATACCGTGTTTGAGATGATTGGAACCGTGTTCCCTCCGAAGCATCTTTGACTATGCAGGTTTGGACGAAAGCTCTTCGTTTGCTCTGCTTGATTTGAGAATGCCGGTGTGCTTCTCCAGGTTCCTCTCAGCATCATGTCACCCTCACAGCAGTCGTAATTTCCTTGATGATCTGTGGAGAGCACACCTCTACAGTCAAAGCAAGCCGTGCACCGTCGTACGAACTGAATAACTGAATGAGGCTCCGGTGGGGAGAACAACTCTTGACGCCCAAAGCCAGGAGAGTCGGGGAGCAATTCTGCCACCAAAAGGCTGGTGGTCATGGAACGCAGTTTCCTCCTGCCCTCAGATTCTATTGTCAAGATCCCACGTCTCCGGAGGCAAGCTTTGCACCTTGCCACGTTGATCACAGGCTACTACGAGTCTGTGCGAATTTTCGCACTGTCGCCTTTAACCAAACAACGGCACTGGCCTACGCGAAGTTTGCCATTGTCGCCTGGAGCCCTATCGGCACTGGCCGAAACCATGCCTTGTCCCACCAATGTGGTGTGATCAACTGCAGCCCCACCGCTCCTGCAAGGGCTAGTTTCGGTGCAGTGGATGCCATGTCGGCTGGCCACGAAGGCCAGGCCTGCGTCCAACAATCGGCATGCGCCGAGGAAGCGCAGGGAGCCCCGTATCGAAGCAGCAGCAAAACTGGAATACAAAACAGGGCCCATTCTGCAGGTTGGAGCTGTGAAGCCAGCATTTTGAGGGCATGCCGAGTAATTGCAAATTTGTTCGATTCATGCCATTGTTGGAGGGAGGTTTGGCCCGAGGGCGTGACAATGGTGCTAAGACACGCATTTCACATACAGTCCCGATGAGTACGAACAAGCAGGTGGTAGCACGACATCTTTTGTGTTCCAAGTTTTCGAAGCCTCAAGCAAGCGTAGATGCAACCGATCATTGGTCAGTGCAGGCCCTTACGGTTGTGGATTAGGGGTTACTGCGGTTACGGGTTGCAGGGCGCCTGAAAAGCATCACTCTCAAAATCAGCTTGCAGCCATGCTCGATTCAGCCGACTTGAAGGAGGTGCTTCTTGGGCTGTGCTGGCAACGAATTCTAGAGCTTATAATTAGGGTTTAAGGTTTCTAGTTTTAGGGTCTTCGGATTTGAAGCTGCTCATCGCGGCTCTTTAGCTGCTTGAAGTGTCTGAAGGGGGGGGGCTTGGATGTCACTCTCGCCTCGTGGCATTAACTTTCAAACATGTTCTGCTGAAGACCCGGGCGACTTTTCATACAATGGGAGGAAAGCGACTCACATGTCCCATGCCCTGATGGCGCACAATGCTCCCCATGAATACCATGCCCAAGTCACGAAAGCTAGCTCTGTGGAGCTCGCGGGAGTTGCCCTTTAGCAATTCACTTGTATTAATTATGGCACTAGGGAAAAAACAGGGTTTGCACCTTATCAGGTGGGACGTCCAAGAGTTAAGGTGGGGGGTATGGGGGTAGGGGGCCCCCCCCCCCTTCACCTTGTCATTATGCGTTTTCAACTGATAAGGTGCGCTTCCCCTCCTCCTTTAAGGTGGTTGTGCCTGGGATAAGGTGGGGGGGGGGGGTGAAACCATAAACCTCTGAAGGGGTAGCTCTAACAGGTACCTACAGCAATGGCTGCATGCTCATACATATACATTCCGCTGCCCATTGGCTCACAGTGGTTTTACCATATTGAGACAAGACAAGCTCTCCTTGCGTAGCAAGACAAAAAAACTACTGTCCGTGTGCAGGGCGCTGCCCTTTGATCCTTAGGGAATAACTGGTCATACACCTCCTCACAAGGAGTATCCCTTGGGGGGGTATCGGCACAGTTTTCTGGTAGCGGAGCCCGGAAAGGGCCGCCCGCCTCACAAAGTCCGCTACAGCGGTCGGCCTCGCCGAACGCTTAACCAAGCGGACAAGAGGCAGCACAATGTCGAGCTCGCATAGCGAAGCCGACGGCAGTTCCCAGTCCTCCGGGGGATATGAGAACGAAGAGACCTCCCAAGGTCCAGCTACTTATGTCGCACAGTCATATGCAACATCTGACCGCATGCTTGCATCATTAGGCATAACGCCCAAGATCGCGCCTGCCTATGATGGCACCACCTCGTGGTTTGAGTATGAACAGTTGATTGACGACTGGTGCGATATAACAACGCTGGATGATACCAAAAGAGGTCCGTCTCTCAAGACGAGGCTCTCCGGATTGGCCGCAGTACAAAAAGAATCACTCAACAGAGAAAGGCTTGCAGCCCCAGACGGAGTAGATTACTTCAAGAAAAAGATGCGTCCATTTTTCGTGAAAGGAGAACAGTACGTTTTCCTGTGGCGTTTTCTCGGCCTATTCAAGGCATGGAAGGGCAACCAAGACTTTGTGACTTGGATTGCTAAGTTTGAGATCGTGCTACAGCGCGTGAGAAACTCATGGATGGATCTCTTACCAGAGATAATTCTGGAAGATGCCCATCCGGATTTCATGCAGGCTGTGCAAGCAGATCAAACCTTCATGCGCCTACAGGATGCAACCGAGAGAGACACATACGCCGCACGTTTCTTCGAAACATGGAACAAGGAACGCCTTGATAATCATCGAAGAGCGTTTCCTCTAAATGATAATCTCCTAGCTCTCCTCTTCCTAGTGCAGTCCGACCTAAATGAGATGCAACGTGAGAGGTTGGTAACAGCATTGACCAACCAAGGTTACCGAATTGAGACCTACACGTACCCTATAGTACGGCAGACCATGTTCGATCAGTTCTCAACGACCAGAACTGGTCTGCATGATCCCAATATTCGGCACACTTCTCACAAGAAGGACCGCCATGGAAGGAGAGATCAACGCCGCAAACGCGGAGGTCGAAACTTCCTCATCCTCGATCAGGGTGAATACGACGGAGTCGATGGATTTTGGCTCCAAGACGAAGACACCCTTGAGGAAGGCTTTCTTGCCGCCGAGGATGAAGAAGCTGTCTTCTGGACAGTTGACGACAATGAAGCCTTCGTTGCAAGGAGATTCAAAAAGGGAAGAAGACCAAGAATGCGTCCCGGATCACCGGGAAGAGCAAAGGGTGGCAAGCGAAAAGGACGTGGCCGTTTTAGGTCATCCCGCGGAAAAGGGAGAGCCAACCAGGCAGAACATGATCCAACTGATTCCAGCTATTTCGGTAAAGGTAAAGGAAAGGAAAAAGGAAAGGGTGGAAAAGGCAAAGGAAAAGGAAAGGACAAAGGAGATAAAGGAAGCTCCTTCAAGGGCTCAAAAGCAAAAGGCAAAGGTAAGGATACAGCTAAGTCTGCCTCCTTACAAGGAGACCAAACTGGATCTCCACAGGCCTATGAAAGTTCCACCGCCCCGAGCTGGGATTCATGGTATGAGGACAGTTATTATACTGACTCCAGTTGGAATTATGCCGCTTATGACGATCAAACGTCTTATACATACTATGCATCACAAGCCCCACGAAGAAAGACACGGAGAAAGAAGAGAAGAAATCAAGCAGGATCATCAGGTAGAGGCACAGATCCGAGCGCGCACCAAGAACCCGTGTACAACTCATCAGTGAGTTACGCGCCCCAGGTTTTTGAACCATCCGAGGGGCAAGGTGTGGAGACTGCAACAGCAGTGTTTCCGTTGCATCACACCGTCCTATCTGCTCTCACCGAGCGGATCAATCTTGATAAGAGCCCTACCTTTGTCATACTTGACTCTGGTTGTACTAGGGCTATGGGTTCCCGCTATGCGGTGAACAGGCTTATCAAGGCCGTGAAGCAACATGCTCCAGGCATGATTGATTTCACTTTTTCACCTTCGAACACGAAGTTCTCTTTCGCAGATAGTGAAACAGCTCTTATCAAGGAGCGTGTAACTCTATGTTTCAACACAACTCCAAGAAGAGATACAACCATAGAAGTTTTTTGGTCAGGTAATACTCCCCCATCTTTTTTGTTTTTTTTTTTTTTTTTTTTTTTTTTTTTTTTTTTTTGTTTTTTTTTTTTTTTTTTTTTTTTTTTTTTTTTTTTTTTTTTTTTTTTCTTTTTGTTTTTTTTTTTTTTTTTTTTTTTTTTTTTTTTTTTTTTTTTTTTTTTTTTTTTTTTTTTTTTTTTTTTTTTTTTTTTTTTTTTTTTTGTTTTTTTTTTGTTTTTTTTTTTTTTTTTTTTTTTTTTTTTTTTTTTTTTTTTTTTTTTTTTTGTTGTCTCCATTGAACAATGAAAATCTTAAGAATGACCCTCGAGTGTAGTCCAACAGCTGACCTAGCAACGTGTGAAGCTTTCGGTTTGTATAAAACCCCTCTTCCGATTAGTACCAATAACCATTTGGTATTGGACCTTCTAGGCTTTACTTCCACCAGGAAGTACCGTCCTAAGTCAGGTACATCGTTCCGTGCGACGGAGACTGCTCTAGGAGCCAATAAGCCTTATGTTAGGATACCGGAAGGTCGCTGTCCAGCCTGTGCCGGACAGAAAA